CCCTCTGGTGGTAGGAAGATGTTTTGCACCCATACAAGGAGCCTTAAAGACTGATCCATCAGACCCCAGAGACCAAGCAGTTTCATCCCGTGCCTCAGCCACACACAGGTCAGAAGCAAACACAGACACAAAACCCCATTGACCCCGATTTCACTGAACTCTTGTATCTTCCGGGGCACAAGAGGTAGTCTCTTCATTGGCAAATCGACAAATAGGAAAAAACTGACAAAGACCACAGCGTGGCCGGACAACACAAGCAGGTTCCGAGTCATTGCCACTGCCAGTGAAGAATAATCCATCTGTGCTGTGCAAACCATAACTAGAATCAGAACCCCAGGCCTGGCACGGTGGCTCCCGCCTGCAACCCCAGAGTTTTGGGAGGCTGAGGCAGGAGGGTCACTGGAGCCCAGGAATTCAAGACCAGGCTGGGAAACAGTGAGATCCCCATCACTATAAAATAGCAATAATAATAATTTCTTTTAAAACCGGGGGTGGGGGTGCACATCTATAGTCCCAACTACTTGGGAGGCTGAGGCAGGAAGATCTCTTGAGCCCAGGAGGTAGATGATGTAGTGAGCCGTGATCCTGCCACTGCACTGTTGCCTGGGTCACAGTGAGACCCTGTCTCAAAAAAAAAAAAAAAAAAAAACCCGCCTGGCAAGGAAGGAGAAACATAAGTTTGAAGTGGGCAAAAACGAGAGGAATGAACATAAAATTCAGTTGTTCCCTGGGGCCAGGTGTGGTGGCTCACAACTGTAATCCCAGCCCTTTGGGAGGCAGGCGGATCACGTGAGGTCAGGTGTTCGAAACCAGCCTGTCCAACATGGTGAAACCCTGTCTCTACTAAAAATACAAAAAGTGGCCAGGTGTGGTGGTGTGCACCTGTCCTGTAATCCCAGCTACTCCAGAGACTGAGGCAGAAGAATTGCTTTAACCCAAGAGGTGGAGGTTGCAGTGAGCCAAGATCATGCCAGTGCACTCCAGCCTGGGTGACAGAGCGCGACTCCATTTCAAAAAAAAAAAAAAAAAAATCTTTTTCCTTGGATTTCATTCCAGAAACCAAAAAAGAGGTGTGTCTGGGCTTAAGCAGCCCCTTTTTTTTTTTTTTTTTTTTGAGATGGAGTTTCGCTCTTGTTACCCAGGCTGGAGTGCAATGGCGCGATCTCGGCCCACCACAACCTCCACCTCGGGTTCAGGCAATTCTCCTCCCTCTGCCTCCTGAGTAGCTGGGATTACAGGCATGCACCACCATGCCCAGGTAATTTTTTTGTATTTTTAGTAGAGACGGCGTTTCACCACGTTGACCAGGATGGTCTCGATCTCTTGACCTCGTGATCCACCCACCTCAGCCTCCCAAAGTGCAGGGATTACAGGCTTGAGCCACCGCACCCGGCTTTATTTTTCTTTTCTTTTTTTTCTTTCTCTATCTCTCTCCCTTCCTTCCTTCCTCTTTCTCTCTTTCTCCCCTCTCCTCCCTCTCTTTCCTCCCTGCCTCCCTTTTGACCCTCCCTTCCTTTCTTCCCTCCTTTCCTTCCTCCCTCCTTTTCTCCCTCCCTTCCTCCTTCCCGTCTTCCCTCCCTCCTTCCTTCCTTCCTTCTTTCCTTCCTTCCTTCCTTCTTTCTCTCTTTTCCTTTTTTTTGGAGATGGAGTCTCGCTTTTTTTGCCCAAGATGGAGTGCAGTGGTGGGGTCTCAGCTTATCGCAACCTCCGCCTCCTGGGTTGAAGCGATTCTCCTTCCTGAACCTCCTGAGTAGCTGGGATTAAGGTGTGTGCCACTACACCTAGCTAATTTAGTATTTTTAGTAGAGACAGGGTTTCCCCATGTTGGCCAGGCTGATCTTGAACTCGTAACCTCAAGTAATCTGCCCACCTCAGTCTGCCAAAGTGGTGGGATTATACGCATGAGCCACCATGCCCAGCCTCTTTTTCTTTCTTCCTTTCCTCCTTTCTTGCTTCCTTTCTCTGACTGCTTGCACATGCTCGCCTGTCCTTCCTTCCTTTCCTGCCTCCCTCCCTCTGTTCTATTTCTTTCTCTCCCTCCCTCCAGCCCTTCCTTCTCTCTTTTCTCTTTACTTCCTTAATTTCTCTTTTTCTCTCCTTCTTTCTTTTCTCTCTTTCTTCTCCCCCTCCCCTCCCCTCCCACTCCCCTTCCCCCTCCCCTTCTTCCTTCCTTGCAGGGTTCTTACTGTATTGCCCAGGCTGGTCTCAACCTCCTGGCCTCTAGCAGTCCTCCTGCCTTGGCCTCCCAAAGCACTGAGAGTACATGCATGAGCCACCATGTACAGCGTTGTGTGAAATTTTATTTATTTATGAAACGGAGTCCCATCCGTCACCCTCTCTGTTGCCCTGGCTTCTTCCCACTCAGGTCGGTCCCTCCTCCACACTGGCCAGCCTCAGCAACAAGACCCAGTTCCTGCCCTGTCCTTCGGACCGTGCCCAGCGACCTCACGACTGTCCACACAGTGGCACAGCTGGTGCTTCACTTCCGACGGTCTTGGGTGGGCGTCTTGGCGCAGGAGGATGACTTTGGGCTTCAGGGCAGCTCTCTGGTGGTCCAGGAGCTAAGCCAGGCTGGGGTCTGCATGGAGTTCCACCTCCACATCCCCACCCATGAGTCCCCAAAGATGAAAAACATCATCCAGCAGATGGAGAGCTGTACCCCCCCATCATCCTGGTCTTTGTTAACAGCTGCACTTCCAACTCATCCTGCAGAGTCTGGTAGGCCGAGACATCCTGCGCCAGGTCTGGGTGAGCCGGGACACTCTGTACATGGCACTGGCCCTGACCACACCGGGTGCCTCCCAGGTCCTGCAGGGCTCGTTCAGCCTCCTGTTTCGCTATAGCCTGCTCCCCGACTTCCCTGAGTTCCTCTCTCACCTGCTCCCTGCCAGGACCCCGGAAGCCATGTTCATACAGAGGTTCTGGGAGGTCACCTTCAAGTGCACATGGCCCCACGGGAGTCGGGGGCCAGCAAGGAACAGCACAACCATCACGGGAGTCCACTTCTGCTCAGGAAACGAGTCTGAGGGCTGAGCACTACGCTTTCCAGAAGGAGAGTAAAGTAAACATTGTCTACACAGCAGTCTGCACCCTGCCTGAAGGCCCTGGCAGCCTGTGAGCATGGGAATGAGGGGTGTGCAGATCCCCAGGACTTCCAGCTGTGGCAGGTGAGAGGCGAACATCTCGAGTGGGGCTAAACATGGTGGCTCATGCCTGTAGTCCCAGTACTTTGGGAGACCAAGATGGGAGGATCACTTGAGCCCAGGAATTCAAGATCAGCCAGGGCAACACAGTAAAACCCCAAATCCACAATTTTTTTTTTTTTTTTGAAATGGGGTCTTGCTCTGTCACCCAGGCTGGAGTGCAGTGGTGTAATCTCAGCTAACTGCAAGATCCACCACCTGGCTTCAAGTGATTCTCCTGCCTCGGCCTCTTGAGTAGCTAGGATTACAGGCATGTGCCACCACGCCTTGCTAATTTTTGTATTTTTAGTAGACATGCGGTTTCACCATGTTGGCCAGGCTGGTCTTGAACTCCTGACTGAGGTGGTGGCCATGATCCACTCACCTCGGCCTCCCAAAGTGTTGGGATTACAGGTGTGAGCCACTGCACCCCACCAAGAAAAATTTTTTAAATTAGCCCATCATGATGGTGCATTCCTGTAGTCTCATCTACTTGGAAGGCTCAGGTGTGAGGATTGCTTGAGTCTAGGAGGTCGAGGCTACAGCAAGCCATGATGGTGCCACTGTACTCCAGCCTGGGCAACAGGGCAAGACCATGTCTCAAAAACAAACAAAAAGTGTGGAGTGGATGATTCAGGGAAGGGCAGAGAGCACGAAACTCACTTGGTCTAAGCTATGGGGGAAGGACAGAGGCAGCACTCATCAGTGAGGATATCTTGTGTTCACAGCCCCAAGCCATATCTTAGTAGGAGCACTGGATGAAGAATCTTTTTTTTTTTTGAGAAGGAGTCCAGCTCAGGCTGGAGCGCAGTGGTGCAATCTTGGTTAACTGCAACCTCTGCCTTCTGGTTCAAGCAATTATCTGCCTCAGCCTCCCGAATAACTGGGATTACAGCTGCCCACCACCATGCTTGGATAATTTTTGTATTTTTAGTAGAGACGGGGTTTCACCATCTTGGCAAGGCTGGTCTGGAACTCCTGACCTTTTGATCTGCCTGCCTTGGCCTCCCAAAGTGCTGGGATGAGTCATGAGCCACCGCGCATGACCTTTTTTTTTTTTTTTTTTTTTTAAGACAGGCTCTTGCTCTGTCATTCAGGCCGGAGTAGTGATGGATTCACAGCTCACAGCAGCCTCGACCTCCTGGGCTCCAGAGAACCTGGAACTACAGGCGCGGGCCATCACGCCGGGCTAATTTTTGTGGGTTTTTTTTTGGAGAGATGGGGGGTCTCGCCATGTTGCCCAGGATGGTGTCGAACTCCTGAACTCAATGATCCTCCCGTCACAGCTTCCCAAAGTGCTGGGATTACAGGAATTAGCCACCGCGCCCGAACCGCTCCATGCATATTGACACAGGAAAACTCTCAGGATGGGTCGCTGGCAACCCATGTTCCCATAAAGGCTTGGCCTCTGGAAAAAGACCTGGGAACTAGTCCTGATGTTCTCAGCCGTGGGGCTTCACAGAGATGGGTAGCTTTTTTTTTTTTTTTTTTTTTTTGAGACGGAGTTTCGCTGTTGTTACCCAGACAGGAGTGCAATGGCACGATCTCAGCTCACTGCAACCTCCGCCTCCTGGGTTCAAGCAATTCTCCTGCCTCAGCCATGTTGAACAGGATGGTCTCGATATCTTGACCTCGTGATCCACCTGCCTCGGCCTCCCAAAGCGCTGGGATTACAGGCGTGAGCCACCGCGCCCGGCCGGTTCCTTATCCACTTTCTCACAATCTTGCGAACGCCGAATGAAGGATCCCCCGGGAGCGCTGCGAACTCGCCGAGCTCCTCCCGCGAAACCCGGGACCGCGAGTCAGAGCTGTCCTTTCACCGCGCCCAGGTGGCGCGGGGCGGGGCGGGGCGGATCCGCTCCCTGCTGCCGGAAGTGCCGCCCGGAACTACAGCTCCCAGCAGCCCTCGCGGTGCGCCCCGGTCAACGCCGGGGAAGCCGCCGCCATTGTCCGCGGCTGAGGTGAGGCCTTCGCTCGGGCTGTGGGGCCGCCGTAGTTACTGGGCTCGGGGGTTGGGAGAGCCGGCGGGGAGAGGCGGCGCCAGGGCGGGTCCTGCACCTGCACTTTCCGCCCCGGCTTTGCGCCCTCCTTGCCCTCGGCCCTCCCACCAGCCGCCAGCCTCTGGCCTCCCGCCTCCAGCGTCCAGGCGCGCTTCCTCGTCTGGCCGTCCGGGCCTGGGTGAACCCTGCACGTCGGCTCCGCGCGCCTTTGTCCCCGAGGCGCGGCCTGGAGCTCCCGAGCGCACTGCTGGGCCGGAACGTCGGCGCGGGACAAAAGCCAAACGCCGCAGGCGAGGCGACCCCGAGCCTGCTGCGCCGCCTTCCCGGGGGACCCGCGGCTGCGAGTCAGGTGAGGCCGGGACGAGCTTCTGCAGCGTCGCGGCCGCGTCGGTCTCGCGGAGGAGATTTGGGTCGGGAGCTCTGGAAGCAGGTGGTCCGGATGCTTCTGAGGCCGCTGATGGGAAGAACGAGCCGGTTCCTTCCCCAGCCCGCCCTCCTCCCCGCGCCGGTTCACACAAAGCACCGCGAAGGACGTCAGACCCGGGTTGGAAACGGCTCTGGATTCCCTTAAACACGCGGTGACGGCGGCGGTCACTGTCAGCCTGCAGCTAACAGTGCGAAATGCGGTTCGCGTCCTGCGTTTCCGCGCCGATTCCGGTGCCCCGGAGGCTCCCTGGGTGTTCTCGTGCTTTAGACACGTACCCAGCAGTCCATTAAAGAGGTTGCTGCCGGCCGGGCGCGGTGGCTCACGCCTGTAATCCTAGCGCTTTGGGAGGCCGAGATGGGTGGATCACCCGAGGTCAGGGGTTCAAGACCAGCCTGGCCATCATGGTGAAACCCCATCTTAAAAAAAAAAAAAAAGAGGTTGCTGCCTTGTACAAAGACCTGGAACCTGGGGATTTAGGGGTCTGGGCGCCAGGCTTATCTCCAGGTCCTACACACACACACACACACACACACACACACACGCACACACGAGTTTAGGCTTAGGAAATCTCGGGCGTGGATTTTGTTTTGGAGGTGGGATTAAATTTGCATAACATAATGTTCACCTCTTTAACCACTTAAAAGTGTGAAGTTCATTGGTTTTATTGTATATTAATAAAGTTGTGCAATCATCACCACTATCTAATGCTAAAAACATTTCATCACCCCCCAAAGAAACTCTTGTTCCCATGAAGCAGTCTCTCCCTATTTTATTTTTCCCCCAGCTCTGGGCAACCACTAATGTATGAGGATTGCAAGTAGCTTTTACAGTAATTGTTGTCCAGTTAACCCGAAAGTTCCATCTGTGTTGTGACTGACTGTCTCTTGGAAATGGCTAACAAATTTATACCTTCTCATCGGAATCATGCTTTTTTTTTTTTTTTCCAGCTTATGCAAATTACCCTTCATTTTTCTTTAGGAATTTTGTTATTTTTTTGACATGTAAATTTTCTTAAATTCTCCTTGCAAGTTTTTTGGTTGCTTCTATGGATGGATTCCCTTCTTTGTTCCCGCTGGGTCTTCTGTGGGAATAGACCAGTTTTGTCTTTTTTCACTTTTGTCGTTAGGTGGGGAATTGCACTGTTCCCAGGCGGGTGTCTGGTCAGTCAGTCCTCCGGATGGCAGCCATCAACCCGTGGGCCTCCTGGGGTGAGTCCAAATCATGTTACTTCTGGGCCTCCCCTAACATTAGCCGCTGCAGTCATGGGTCAGAGCTGGGGAGGGGCTGAGGACTTTTGAGGATGGAAGTGGGGTCTGTCTGTCTTGGTACAAAATTAGAAGCGATTGGTGGTAAAGAAGGAAAATTTTTGGCGTAAAACACAGTAACTTTTATGTGTTTTATAGCCTCTCCTGAGAGTTGTTACTGGTTTTAAGAGATTTTCTGGGCCGGGCGCGGTGGCTCAAGCCTATAATCCCAGCACTTTGGGAGGCCGAGGCGGATGGATTACGAGGTCAAGAGATCAAGACCATGCTGGTCAACAAGGTGAAACCCCGTCTCTACTAAAAATACAAAAATTAGCTGGGCATGGTGGCGTGTGCCTGTAATCCCAGCTACTCGGGAGGCTGAGGCAGGAGAATTGCTTGAACCCAGGAGGCGGAGGTTGCGGTGAGCCGAGATGGTACCATTGCACTCCAGCCTGGGTAACAAGAGCGAAACTCCGTCTCAAAAAAAAAAAAAAAAAAAGAGAGAAATTTTCTGATGGTTTGTGGGGTTTCCAGAGACAGCGATACGTATAATAAAGTATTGTCTCTACTGCTCCCCTATATATTTTTACCTTTATAATTTTTTTACTTATACAGCATTGGTAACTTCAAAACAGTGTTAAGTAATAGTGACTCACATGTGCATTTCCTGTGTGAACCCAGCTTATGTTGGATTTTTTTACGTGCCTTTGGGCTCTGTTTATGGAATTTTATAGTGCCCATTAGCGAGTCAGTTTCCTCTTGCATTTTGTTGCCTTTAATCACTAGATTTGGTGTCACAGACCTAACCTGATTCTTCTGTGCAGGTGCCCTTATGGACCAGTCTTGGGGGATGACAGCTGTTGACCCATGGGCTTCCTGGGGTGAGTCAAGAGCCTGGTCAGCTGTGGACTGCCATGTTGTGGCCTCTCCCTGTAGTGCTCTGCCATAGCTGGGGATCAGAATGGGGACCAGGTGGGGCTCTGGGGCAGATGATCCAGATCAGTCTTTGTGAAGAGTTGTAACGAGGAGGGGTCAGAAACCTCTAGTGAGCAATAAGATGATGGTGACATCTCAAGATGCGTGAGAATTTATGTGTGGCCATTTAGGGTTCAGGCCCAGGAAGGCTGGTCACACCAGACACTGCTTCTCAGAGATGGTACTTAGCATAGGGTGGGCAATGAGAGAGGCATGTGTTCAGGTACTTTCCTAACCTTCTCTGAGCCCTAATTCCTTCATCTATAGAATGAGGAAGTGGGTTTCTTCCCTCATTCAAGGGGGAGGGGCAGGGGCTGGTCCTTAGTTCCCGCCAGGAAGGAAGGGTGAGCTCCTGGCAGCAAGAGCTGCCTCCATGACTTTTTTTTCCTTCCCCAGCTCTGTGTCCTCAGGAGCCTGCCTGGCACATGGAGGGGAGCCCCGAGGAGGGGAGGAGGGCCGCTGGGCTCCCAGCAGCCCAGGAACAGGTGAGATGTCCACTTATTCTTGAAGGGCTGTCCTTTTCTCAAAGGATGATGTCCAGATTATCCCTGGTCATCCCAGTTGATGCGGCCTGCCAGTTTACAACAGTGAAGAGTTTGGGTAGGGAAGGAAACAACTGGAAGTTAATGCTTCCTGAGAGCAGGGAGGGAGAATCAGGCAGTTTTTAGTGACTTAGAGCCTTGCTGTCAACCAGCCTGTTTACCATGCTTAGCCCGACTGTCCCTGGCTTATGGAGGATGAGGGGCAGTCCTTTTGGCTGGCAGCTCCACTTCTCTTCCCACCTTTACTCATGTCTTTAGCACCTGATTTAGGCTGATGCTGTGCAGTGAGCTCCATCCTTGCTGTGAGTGGAACAAGGACAGGTCTGAGCCTCCACCCTGAGGAGCTCCCAGACCCTTTTCCAGGGTTATTCACTCAGTTAAGGACATCTCACAGCCTACCTGGGGCCACACATGCAGTGCGGGATGTGAGAAACCTGAGGTGGGTAGAGTAGGCCTGGAGGAGCTCAGTTTACCTGATACGTTGGGAGATGGGACAGAGTCTGTGTGGAGGTCAGCTTTTGCTGCGGAGGGGAAGACTGCTTGGGAGACCTGCACCAAGAGGTGAAAAGAATGCATCAGTCAGTTGGGCACAGCCTGGTGAGTGGGAGTCTGGCCTCCTACAGAACCACAGGGGTGGAGGGTAGCAGGTGGCAGGCAGCACACTGTGTGACCAGTGTTTGAGTGAGACTGACTCCAGTTAGATTTTAGGCTGGAGAGGCCAGGATGAACCCAGCCAGGCCCTGAGTGCCTGAATGCCTGAATGTCTGCTGCAGAGCTTCAGAAGTCTTGGGATCAGGGTGCATCAGGGTCGTGAATGTGGCTGGCAAGATTCCCCTAATGGGTGTGGAAAGAAGAGGGCTGTGGGAAGCAGGCTGGTGTTTCAGGCTTCAGTCTGACCAGGGCCTGGGAGCTAGGAAGGAGAGGAAGATCAGAGAGGTATAAAGAAATCAAAGCAGGTGACTGTGATTATGGGGAGAGGGTGGCTCCCGAGAGAAATAGGACAATGGAGTCAATTTGGAAAGGTGTCATCTCCCTGCATTCCTCCTGCCCAGTCTCCTCACCAGATGGATCCACTTAAAAATTTTTTTATAATAGCTTTGAGACAGTATTGGCATACTATAAGGTTTATTCTTTTAAAGTGTATTGTTCAGTGGTTTTTAGTATTCACAGAATTGTGCAACAATACCAGTATCTAAATCTAGAACATTTTCATCACCCTGAAAAGAAATCCTGTACCTATTAGTAGTTACTTTCTGTTCCCCCTGCCAACAACTAATGTACTTTCTGTCTCTATGGATTTGCCTAGTCTGTACACTTCATATAAATGGAATCTTAATATGGCACACCCTTTTGTGTCTGGCTTTTTTCACTTAGCATAATATTTTTTTTTAAGAGTTATCCATATTGTAGCATTTCATCAGTATTTCTTTTGATGACTGAGGCAGCCATTTTTAACTTCCTCTTTTCAGTTTTTTAGAGTTGTGTGTCTGTATTTCTAAATTGGAGATTTTTTAAAATTGTTTTTTCCTAGTTCATCAAAGTTACATTTACTCTGTTAGCTTCCTGCTATGAAAGATGACGAAAAAGAGTTTCATTACCTTTTTTTAGGTCTTTTATTTGTAAGTCAAAATAATGAATCAAGGCTGGGTGTGGTGGCTCACGCCTATAATCCTAGCACTTTGGGAGGCCGAGGCGGGTGGATCACCTGAGGTTGGAAGTTCAAGACCAGCCTGACAAACATGGAGAAACCCTGTCTCTATTAAAAAATAAAAAATAAAAAGAATCGAGCAGATACTTGGATATAAAACAAGATTTAAAAATAATGTCTCTACTTTATGCCTCTCCCCCAAATTAAAAAATACTACTAAAACTGCCCACAGTTTCAAATCTGGTGGGTGAAGTGCATCGTAAGTATGCTGTCCCTGGTCTAGGTGAGGTGGGAAGCAGAAGGGCCTGAGTCATGATACAAGGTGATTGTTGCCTGGCATCACAACGTGGGCAACTATGAGGTTTGGTGCTGTTACAATGTGCAGTCATTATTAAATCCTAAAACAGAATCATCAGCAGTGAAGCTAGGCTATCCTGAGATGGCCCCTAAATCAGACTCAGGAGTAGAAGTTAACTTTAATAAAACTGCGAAGATAAGCCCTGTTAACCACCATGCTGCGTTCTGCTGTTAATTTATGCTAGGGTTTCCGAGAACTATCAGATTTAATGCTGAGAAAATAAAACAGAATTAAAAATAACACCCTCCAATGTCTGAAGAGTTGTGATTTCTGACAACATGCTCCTGGCTGGCCCCCCACCCCCCACTCACTTTGGATTTTGCCTGTGGGAAAGTTGGACTTGACTGTTGTGTGTTTTTAACTAAATGAGATTAACCCTGTGTCCCTTTATTGTTCCCTCGAAGTTAAATATTTATTGAAATAAAGCATTTATCTGGTGAAAACATCAAATGCTGTCATCCCTCATTATCTGAATAGTCCATTCATGGAAGTATGTTGAATAGTGAGGTTTTAGCTACAGAAGCCCTGATCCCATTATTTCTAAGAATAGGGGAAAATAATAATTGTAGTGATAATATCCCATTCCATCCTAAAACCCCAACCAGCCTCCAAATATGGAAGCATTCAAATCCCTCTTTAACAATCCACCAAGGATATCTGCTTAACAAGCATTATGCACATAAAACACCAGTTATAATCCTGCCCCCATCCTTGGTCATACTTGAGGATGTGCACAGTCGAGTTATGTTTTCCTTCTCTGCAATGAAGTTCTACCATAGAAGCCATCTGAATTGCCCCAGGTTCCTTGAATGGGGAGCAATTTGGCAAGATCCGTCAGCAAAGATCTGAGACCCAGCAAGGCCCCTTGGTCTTCTCTCTTTCAGAAGCTCACAGGGTTTAAATGTGTGGCTGGTTTGTTAGCAGATTCCATAAAGTGCTTTAGAATGCCTAGATAAATGCTTATACGTATATACAAAGTGATATGTGCAAAAATGTTTATGAGAATTTGGGTGAAGCACTTTTGCAAGTCATCCTAGGGTGTAATTGGAAAATGCAAATTTAGCTCATAATGGTGACCTGTGGACCAGGAGGATTCGCTTCTCCCTCTAGCAGGACTCCTCGCGTCAGGCAACAGTGAAACCTGTATTTCTTCTATCCTTGAAGGGTCCCTCTCATCTCCACAGCTCATGAGACTAGGTGCCTGTCTTCTACAGTCTTTTCCTTATGGCCTTTCGCTTTTGCATTTTCCTTTGCAATTCTAGGCTGAGGGTGTTTACTGTGTCCCCTTACCATCCATTTATATAATTATTTTTATTTTCGAGACAGAGTCTCACTGCGTTGCCCATACTGGAGTGCAGTGGGGCGATCTCAGCTTGATGCAGCCTCCCCGTCCCACGTTTAAGGGATTCTCATGCCTCAACCTCCCAAATAGCTGGGGTTACAGGCGTGTGCCACCACACCTGGCTAATTTCTGTATTTTTATTTTTATTTTATTTATTTGTTTATTTTAAGACAGGGTTTCAGCATGTTGGTTGGTCAGGCTGGTCTTGAACTCCTGACCTCAGGTGATCCGCCCGCCTTGGCCTCCAAAGTGTTTGGATTACACGCGTGAGCCACCACACCTGGCAATTTTTGTGTTTTTAGTAGAGATGTGATTTCACCATGTTGGCCAGGCTGGTCTCAAACTTCTGACCTCAGGTGATTTGCCTGCCTTGCCCTCTCAAAATGCTGGGATTACAGGTGTGAGCCACCACTCCCGGCCGCCTTACCATCCTTGAGGTGAGGCCTCCATGATTTGTGGGCCTGGACATGGTTACATATTCAGCTGGGGGCAGCTCTTTTCTTACAACTGCATTTTATCCCATGGGGCTTCCAGTTTGAAAATGGCCCCTTTTTCAATTCTAAATGTTTTTAAAAATGTACTTTTAATTTTGACAAATTTCATAATTATAGAAAAGTATGAAAAGGAAGCAGATAGCATCCCCATCCCTGGACAATTATTAATGTTTGTCATATGTGTTATGTTGTCCTCTTTTATGTAGTGCTCATTCTCTTCCCACCTTTTCTTAGGCAACTATTCATGGATTAGGTTTGTGCACCGTTAACATTTTCATGTGCAAACATAGATGATACACTATATAGACAGGGACAGTCTTTTTTTTTTTCTTTTTGAGACACAAGTCTCCCTGAGTTGCCCATACTGGAGTACAGTGGCGTGATCTCTGCCCGTTGCAACCTCCGCCTCCCAGGTTCAAAGGATTCTTGTACTTCAGCCTCCCAAGTAGCTGGGATTGCAGGTGTGTGCCACCATACCTGGCTAATTTTTGTATTTTTAGTAGAGGTGGCATTTTGTCATATTGGCCAGGCTGGTCTCAAACTCCTGGCCTTAGTGATCTACCTGCCTCTGCCTCCCAAAGTACTGGGATCATAGGTGTGAGCCACTGCACCCCGCCCAACAATCTGTTTTTTTCTTTTTTTTTCAATATTCTTTTCCTATATGTAGTTTTCCTATAGTTTTCATTTTTCAACTTTGAGGTCCATCCATGTTGATAGACAGAGAGAAGTCAGGCTTGTTCCTTTGGCACTGCCAAGTGTATCTCTTAGGGAAATGCACCTATGCCTTCATCGTTTCTTTTATGGATAGGTTTATAAGTTCCTCTTTCCCACATTGTTTTTGCTGCTCTGGTCAAAGCTGTGTGAACATTCCTGTAGCTTCATTTTGTGTGCATGTTTACGTGGTTTTTATCTAGGCATACCCCTAGAAGCAGAGTTTTACTTGGTTTTAGGTACCTTTTTTTTTTTGAGACCATCTCGCTATGTAGCCAGGCTGGAGTTTAGTGGTGCGATCTCGTCTCACTGCATCCTCTGCCTCCTGGGTTCAGGCGATTCTCCTGCCTCAGCCTCCTGAGTAGCTGGGACTACAGGCGCACACTACCA